AGAGTCTCTACATGATGACATTATAGTCTTCATTAACAATGTCTGTTGAATCAACTGGTGAGCTCTGAAGGGAGAGAAAGAGGAGGGAGGGAGGGAAGGGGACAAATAGAAGGAGGAAATGAAGTAACATTATCACTTATCTCTTACTTTGACTGTAATTCTAGGTGACTCTATTACCATACTAGTGTCAATTACACTGTATAAAATATTATAATGTAAAATGTTTATTGTTATTATAACTCACTTAAGATCCTCTACTTTGTTCACATCTAAAAGAAGAAGACAAACATGACCAGGTAAGATAACATAGCTCTATATCTCCAAATTTCCCTCCCCCTCTCATTAATCTCAGTCACTCTCTCTCCTTCCCTCTCTCTGTCTTACCCCCCCTCTCTCTGTCTTACCCCCCCCCCCTCTCTCTCTCTCTCACCATCTTTCATGTCATAGGACTTTCTATTATTCTTCACTTTACATACAGCACATGTAACAATAGTTATACAAAGCAGGACTACAGCTCCTCCTCCTCCTCCTCCAACAGCAGTTACTATGATAGTATTGCTACTACCGCTTTCTCCACCTGTTCAACAAGTATTGTAGTGATATGTTACATGATATGGTTCATATATATTACTTGGAGTAACAGAAGGAGTGGGAGAGGAAATTGATAAGGTGGAGAGGGTGGAGGAGATGGGAGAAACAGTATCTACCCAAAAAAAGAATGACAACATTACATTCTCATGTTACTATAGAATGCATGAAAAACATGTAAAAATGGGGAGGGGGGATAGAGAAAGAGTTTGTTTGACTTACATGTAATTAGACTAGATAAAATATTTGATGATGATTCTTGTGATACTGATGAAGAGGTCATTGGATTGCAGTTCTGAATAATTTCTATAAAATAAAGTAACTAATAAGAATTGACACTAATTTTACATATGTACCTGAATTATTAGTAATGTTAGTATAATCTGTAGTATTAGAACCAAACCTGTTTGATAAATTAACAGCTACTGACCATGTTAAATCATGAATCAATGATTCAATGCTAATATTGATTGGTATCATTGCGTTAGGTAGAACATTATCATCAAGTGGTATACTGATATTAAGTTGTGATGAATTGAGTTCTGTCTGACAGTAATCTCTTTGTAGTAAAGTATACGTGTAATTGTTTAATAGATCAATATCACATGGAGCTGTAACCTATTCAATAATAATAATCAATTAATTGCAGTTGTACTTACATTGAATTCAATGGTATAATTATCATCAATAACAGTCAATTCATCAGATATTTTAGGACCTATGAAATAGTACAACAATTTTTAAACCAATAATGTATTTCTGTACCTGAAATCAAAGTGAAAGCTTCATTTGCCATTGTTACATTAGTAAATCCATAACTTAAATTAGCAGCTGCTCTTACTCCCCATTGATATGAAGTACATTCAGTATAATTAGTTATATTAGCAGGTGATATTATTACATATGTATTGTTAGTAATGTTTATATCAGTTACCATCAGAGAATTATTAGTTGACTCCATTATTATTATATTATATGTGAATAATGGTACGGCTTCTACTAGAGGAGGTAACCATGACAACTTAACAGTAGCATTTTCTCTTAACTCGTGGGATAATGAAGAAGAATTGGGTGGACCTAATAAGAGATAACAAAAATAAAATGATAAATTGCAATTGTACCTAATTCACACCCAAATGCAGGTATCTAGACTAGGGTATTGTTCTGTAACTCACCAAAAGCAATCACTTGCACTGGATCAGTAGAGTTTGAAAAATACTGAGGAGGTGAAAAAATATTGCATCCAAGTGATCCAGGACATGCTTGGCACTGAATATGTAAGTCAGAATTAGTAGAATTAAGAACAACTGACAGTTTGGACACTCCAGCTTGAGCTATTAATGTATTAATTGTAATCCCTCTGTCTGGTGATGATGACAGCAGTATCTCATTACTAACATTCCAGGCTAGAAGAGTGCCTTGTTGTGAAGTGAAAGAGAAAGAGCAATTAAAGGAGACAGGACTCTCAAAAGGAGCTACAATGGACTCAGATGGATACAAAGACACACTATCAGACACTACAGTCACAATTGAGGGAGAAAGGACACAAAATAGAGAAAGAAATAAAATCTTGTGCCTTCCCATCTTTGCCGCAGATCTATCAAGAGTAGTAATTAATTAAAAGGGGAGTGTAGCCATAAACTAGCAATCATTATTATGCATAAGCAAAATGAAAGTAAATCTAGTTTTATAAATTATTATTATTAGTAACAAATTCATTCTTTTTATTATAAGCTTCATTATTCTCTGTCTGGACTACTGAAATATCACCATATGCTGGACAGGTCTCTAATTCTACAGCATTAGTTCTACCATCTTGATGCACCTATACATGTACTAAAAATGAGTATTTTAATAACAATTTATTATTATACCTCAGTAGCAGTTCTTTTACAGCATATAAGGGCTATAAAAATATTTATTAGCAATATTATTGCTGCAATCAGTAATATCATAACAGTTATTGTAGTACCAATAACAATTGGAATCACATTAGACTCGTTAGTTGATGGTGTTGCAGTGATGTATATTGTACTAGTAATTATAACTGTAGCAAATGAAGTCTGAACTGTTTTAGAGACAAAAATTGCAATACAATGATAATACAAATTTAATTACTTGATGTTGCAACATTGAAGAAGGAAGTAGACTTAATGCTTGACGATGATGGAATTGATTCTGAATAGCATTTATTACTAGTTATATTACCTGCAACAAATACACCATTATGAATTGGTACATTTAAACTAATTTACAATCTACATACCAGTGACATTAGTATAATCTGTAGTATCAGAACCAAACCTGTTTGATACACTAACAGCCACAGACCACGTTGAGTTATGAATCAATGATTCAATGCTAACACTGATTGATACAGTCGATCCATCATTATCATCAATTTGTTCGGATGTGATCTCAATCAATGACGAATTAATCTCTCGTTTGCAGTAATCTCTTTGCAATAGTGTGTAAGTATAGTTATTAAACAAGTCGTTATATTCACACGGTAAAGATACCTAGTAATATCAATATTAGAGGAAATATTAAATTCTATTAAAACATGTACTTACGTTAAAATGAAGACTGTAAGAAGTACTGTCGTTTACAGAAATGATCAATTCATCAGAAACAAAGGGAGCTACATAAAAATAATACTAATAGTACTAATAAAGTTACCATTACCTGATATAATGGTAAAGTTAGTAGCTGCAATTGTTATATTAGTAAATCCATGTAGACTGACATTACTACCAGCTGCTCTCACCCCCCACTGATACTCCTTACATTGAGTATACTGCACTATGTCCCTTGGTGATATTATGACATATGTATTGTTAGTAATATTTATATTAGTTACTGTCAGTGAATTATCAGTTGACTCCATTATTATTATATTATATGTGAATAATAGTACGGCTTCTACTAGAGGAGGCGACCATGACAACTTGACAGTAGCATTCTCTCTTAACTCGTGGGATAATGAAGAAGAATTGGGTGGACCTAATAAGAAATAACAAAAATAAAATAATAAATTGCAATTGTACCTAATTCCCACCCAAATGCAGTTATCTAGACTTTTATGATAAGGTATTGTTCTGTAACTCACCAAAAGCAATCACTTGCACTGGATCAGTAGAGTTTGAAAAATATTGAGGAGGTGAAAAAATATTGCATCCAAGTGATCCAGGACATGCTTGGCACTGAATATGTAAGTCAGAATTAGTAGAATTAAGAACAACTGACAGTTTGGACACTCCAGCTTGAGCTATTAATGTATTAATTGTGATCCCTCTGTCTGGTGATGATGACAGCAGTATCTCATTACTAATATTCCAAACTAGAAGAGTGCCTTGTTGTGAACTGAAATTAAAAGAGCAAATAAAAGAGACAGTAATCCCAAAAGGAGCTACAATGGACTCAGATGGATACAAAGACACACTATCAGATACTACAGTTAGAGGGAAGAAGACACAAAATAAGAGAGCCTTGATGTTTTCCATCTTTTCAAAGTGGGAGGAGCTGATCTATTGTTGTTAATGTTAAGTTACTGTCATTACCGGTAGTTATATAGATAGACTATTGGAAACTGATCACGTAATCCATTCAAATCAATGTAATATCATAGATACTCTATTACGTACTATAAATATTAGAGAGATTGCATAGATATTAGAGGTATCTATGCTAACATCTATGATTGTACAAGAGCGCTGCTTTTTATTATTTTTCATAAAAAATTTTTTCACAAATTTGATAAATTCCATTCTTCATGACAAGTTACAAAAATAATTTAAAAATTCATGAAATTGATTATTAACCAATAAATCTAGCTTTTTATATTCACAATTAGATCTAGATTTTGAACAAGTATTACAAACTATAACTCAATATTCAATTGTCGAAAGTCAACTGAGTGGAGTACATCTAATCCCAAAGCACCTCAACTCTCTTAACTGTATATATTTAATAAATTATTATTTTTCAACTTGCCAGTTATTAAGCTCAATGCTTTTTTCCACACTGTGGCCGAGTTATTATTCACTAATTTTTATTTCATTCTCTGTTGTTTATTGAATGGTATTTTCAAAAAAAATCATGAAAGAGCATATAAACTTGGTATATTATCATGCACTGCATTCAGTCCATAATTGCAGCTAATGCAAGTTGAAGAAGCAACAACAGTGGCAACATCATGTATCATCACATTGACACAATCATGTGTTGCTGGTAGTACATAAAGCATTTGTTTACTATTGATACAAATGTATCAATGTTTCTTTACAGTGAGTGACTGTTCCAATGTGCACATGGATTATACTATCAATATTTTAACTTTATTTGTCTTATTTATCCCATGTCAACATATTGATACTTAGCCTATTAAGGTAATACATTAAATAAAACTCTTCATTAGTTACTAGTAGAACATGATGAGAAGATTGTAAATATGAGTATTATTATCATTATTATAACAACAACAACAATAATATAATATGAAAAGAAACCAAAAAACCTAAGAAAAAGAAATAAGAGCAAAATCAAATTATCATTATTAAATAGATATAAAAAATACTTAGATGTAGAATAAAATAGGGAGGAAGAGAAACAGTTAAAGAAAAAACAAAATAAGGCATAATAAGATCGTGATCTAGTTTTGATTAGAATCAGCTCAAACTTGATATACAACATATGTACATGTGTATGTATCAAGAAAAATATATAAATGGAGAACTCTCACCTAGCCAATGACAGGGACTTTGGTCCAATTTTTGAGCAACTTTATAAAAAAAATCCAATTTTAATTGGAATCAGCTCAAACTTGATAAACAACATAAGAGCATGTATAGACTATGTATCAGAAAAAAATTTATAAAAATGTAGAATTGTTTCCCAGCCATTTTTGATAAAATACCATGGATCAGGGTTTCTACAAAGCTCTACTGAGCAATGTACACAGCACACCTAATGAGCTGGCAACAGTTAATAATGAATAACTAAGCTAATATTACATATACGTCATCATCGTGTCATGTTTTTTATTTTTTAAACACCACTTTCCTTCTCCTCATTCTGTTGCAGGTTAATTACTATCATATCATCATTTAAAAAATCATTTTAAAATTAAAATAACATTTTACAATACAAATTGATCTTCACTGTTTTTCACTGTCATTATTGCTCTCATTACTTTTGTGTGTGATTAACTGATTATAAACAATTATTTGATTAAAATACAATGTCTTAAATACATGAGATTATTATGATACAATAAATCAATGTAAATTAAGTGCATCTCATGAAATGATTGATGAAGACAACTATATGGCAGCTATTGTGAATACTTAACATCATCAAGAACAGTGGGTGGAGGAGCATGTCCCTGTACGTACAAATAAAAACATAATAATAACAAACTTGAAAGCATGATTATATAATTACATGTGCATGATTGGTATAAGATTAATGCTGGTTTTAGGTGTGTGTATGTGTGTGTGTGTGTGTGTAAAACATGAAAGCAAAAAGCATATAATATGCATGACTGGTCTTTGGTAGTATGTGTGTGTTTAGTAGTACCTTCCTTGATCTTATTTCATCTAAATCAGCATACTGGTGTGTCACCAACTGGGAATCAGGTATTGCCTATCAAAAATAACCAATAATGATAATTAAATATGAAAATTATACCAATAACAATGATAACAACAAAAGTAACAGCAATGATGATTACTTCAGCTTCATTGGGAGCAAGGGGCAATGGATCCTGCAAAGAGAAAGAGAATTGAAAGTTCAGAATATAATCAGCAGGCCAATGTTTTTAATTTTGCACAGTTGTCTGTGAGATGCGTGCCTTCAATCCAATTGCATTATTAATATGAAGCACCATGGTGCGTGGACTCACCTGCTGAGATTCACCTGAGGGATAATGTGTTACTTGTACTGCCCCCATCATGATATTATATATATATATAAGCAACTTGATATTTGAAAAAAGGATAATAGATTTTGACAAAGTGCAAAGTGCAACAATGCAATTACTGCACTGATCCATAAAATAAATTTTAGGTGTGGTCAGCACTTAGCAGTGCAGTGCAGTGCAGATAAACATGGCACGTGGGTAGGAGAAAGAAGAAAAGCTGAAATTTATTTTAGCATCTGAAGCTCTATTCAAAGAAAGAGTAAGCACAAAAAATTTGCCTAGATATTTAAAAGAGACTGAGATAGTTTGGTTGCTCCTGCTTTCCCCAGTGCTGCCTGAAAATTTTTCGAAAAAGCTAAATCACAAACTTTGAGCAACTGTAACTCGCAAACAAAAAAGAGATTAGAAAATTCCCACATATTTTCAAATCTATGTACTTTTCTCTACCTATCAATGCTAATCTTGACCAAATAGAGTGAAACACGAAGATTTGGCTAGGAAAAGTATCATAGTATTCTTGAAAATATTCAGCTTTTGCTACCACGGATTGCTATGAAAACACAACGGAGCTAAATAAATTATCTTTTTCTCAAAGCTTAAAAAGAGTTATAACTCAGGAGAGCTCAGTAAAAAAGATATTGACTAGGAATTAACAGGAATTTTCGTTACAGAATTACAGAATTGTAATAAGTGTCAACTTGTAAATTGTTTTATACTGAATCAAAACAACAGAGAGAACAACAGCAAAAGATGATAATAAAAGACAGAGACTCACACACACACACACACATGCTCCTCTTCTGAGCATGCGCACTCATACACATAATAACATATTGTAACCATAATATAGTAATACATGAATTATTGTACATACACTACATAATACCAAGAGTATAGTGTCAATTCAGTTCACTACAGAATGACAACCCAACTGCAT